TTGGTTTTCTTGTCTTTTTCAGGCTCAGCACAAACACTGGGAATTGGCTGGGACCAAACTGGGAGACATAATGGGTGTCAAAAAAGAGGAAGAGCCAGATAAAGCTTTTACAGAAGATGGCAAAGTGGATTACAGGTAGGCCATCTCAGGCCAGCATTGTGTTCCCCTGAAGACTGGAGGCTGTCAAGGGCAATGGTGGTGAAACTCATAGAACTCATGGCTTGTAAATAAGAAGATGATATGATGTCACTGAGTTTAAGGCAAAAATTCTTACATCCCTTCTGGCGTCTCTCTTCCATCGTCTTCAGCTTTTCCTAGATATGATTCCTACCACCACCATAGCCACTACCATAGGAGTGCTTCCTCCATGCCAGGCAGCATTAAAGCCTTTTCAGTAGTCACTCATTGAATTTTAACAACAGTTCCATGAAGTAAGAAATAAGTGCTATTCCTGTTTTTCACATGAGGATGCTGAGATCCAGGGAGGTTAAGTAACTTGTTTGAACTCACCCAGCTAGTAAGTGGCAGAGTTAGGATCACCCCAGGCAGTCTAGCGTCAGAGCCCATGCTCTTAGCCACTCTGCTCAACTGCCTGTCACATGTTCAGTGAAGGAGGCTGGGTTTTGCTGTCTTCGATTTCAGTTCAATATAAGAAGAACTATTTTTAACAGGTTCAAAAATAGAAAGGGTTGTCTTATCAGGTAGTGACTTCCCCGTTCATAGGGGCATTTAGCAGATGTTAGATAACTGCTTGTTGGGATTCCTGCATTGGGCAAGTGGTTGGACCTAAATATCCCTTGTGAGTCTCATTCTTTGAGCACTATGAGGGCCTGTTGAACTGTGTTATGAGTTAACAGTTCTCTGTACCCCTGTGAGAAATGTTCCAAATGAGAAGTTGGTAATACTGATCAAACTTTGTCAGTCTCTGGTTAATATAATCCCTTAGGCGTCATTGTGAGGTGACTCGGGGGACTGAGTGAAATTAGAAATAGGAGGCTTGACTGAGCTTGGTGTAGCTATGATGGAAGAAAGTCTCCTAGGGGAGGCGTAGTTAGGAAGATTGCATAGACTCACGGAGCACCGAACTGGTATCTTTTTGCTGTGCAGTCTAGGGATGTGTACATGTGTCAGATACTTGAGTGCTTTCAGTAGGAGTTGTAGGAAAATATTAAGTGGGTCTGTCCTCATAATTCTTTGAAAATGAAGCATTATAGACTGCCAAGAGGAGGGAGGATGTCTGACCTAAATAGGAGTGTTCTGTGAGCATAACTTCCTGAGAAGACCATTGTGGCTATTTTAGCCCTGTAAGTGTTGTGCTGAAGTAGCCTAGGGGCATATTCTGTACAAGTTAATAACCTGGTGATTTCAGCTCCTCTCTGGTCAAAGTCTTTTTAGGTCAGAGGGTTTACCCACTTGATAATCTGTAACTCCTTTGATCCATATTTAGCTCTGTTTGACACTGGGGTGTAGAGTGTGTTGTGGATGATGGATTCTCAGACAGCAGTTCCAGTCCCTTTGGCCTGAGGAGAAGAGAAACATCTCTGACTACCTGGTTGCTCTAGGGTGTCAGAGATTTATTGCTTCTTATAGAAGTACTCATGCTGACTGTAGGAAGAAGGGTGGTAACCCAGTCAGGAAGAAAAATAGAAGGAAGTCATGCAGGGGATTTAGGCTGCTGTGTGTTCTCAGGACAGAGCAGAAGTTTGCGGATCACATGAAGAAAAAGAGTGAAGCCAGCAGTGAATTTGCAAAAAAGAAGTCGATTCTGGAGCAGAGGCAGTACCTGCCTATCTTTGCAGTGCAGCAGGAACTACTCACTATTATCAGGTAATTCTACCGCCGAGCCCAGGAAGTCCGATGTGGAATCAGATGTCTACATTGTCTCTGATGTTTGTCAATAGCTCTTTTTCTTTTGTGCATTGCGTCTGATGGAGAAGGGAAATCATTACTTTTTCTCTAACCTGGGCATTCTGGACAACACTACATAAAGTAAGCAAGATGATACCACTTGTAATTCACTTGTTTAAACCTCACTGTATTCTAGGCATTTTGAATTCTGTCTCGGTATGAGGCTCTTTTCCCTATGAAATCCTTCTCTCAGCAAGCATAATCTTTGGACAGCTAGACATGGGGACAACAGGTAGCAGAGTCATCTCGGAGTCTTGGATTTGGCCTTCCACTGGGTTGATTAGCCCTTTGCCTCTTTCTTGTAGAGATAATAGCATTGTGATCGTGGTTGGAGAGACAGGGAGTGGGAAGACCACTCAGCTGACCCAGTACTTGCATGAAGATGGTTACACGGACTACGGGATGATCGGGTGCACGCAGCCCCGGCGTGTAGCTGCCATGTCAGTAGCCAAGAGAGTCAGTGAAGAGATGGGTGGAAGCCTTGGTGAGGAGGTAAGTGGACATGAAGGTGAGCCATGGAGTTTATTGCCTGACAGCTTCTATCTATTTATGTTGAAGCGGGTCATTTGTTTAGATGTTAGTATGTGCTGTGCTAGTGACAAGCTGGTGGTTAGTTTCAAGCAATCTCTCTGATCTCCCAGGTGGGTTATGCCATCCGCTTTGAAGATTGCACCTCAGAAAACACCTTGATCAAATACATGACTGATGGGATCCTGCTCCGAGAGTCTTTGCGGGAAGCCGACCTGGATCACTATAGCGCCATCATCATGGATGAGGCCCACGAGCGCTCCCTCAACACTGATGTGCTGTTTGGCCTGCTCCGGGAGGTGAGGGCTGAGGGGCCCTCGTTCCTCTGTGTCTGTGCGGCTCTGACCAGACCACTGCTGGTAGTTGGCAGCTGAGGAGCAGCCAAGTGGGTTGGGTCTAGTCTACAAAAAATGAGGGGGTTTCTGACAGACCGTAGTTTGCCCTGAGGCCTGTGGGTTGCTGGGTTCAGATCTAGTTTTGTAGTTGAGTCTGTTCTAGCTCAGCTGAATGACAGTTAAGTTTTCTTTTGGCTCTGTTTCCATCTGTACAGTCTTCCGGATTACTGTGAATCTAGTATGCAGGTTCATCAGCTTTGGCGTCTGTTTTGCTTGGAGTAGTGCTAATGGACTGGAGGGAGAAAACCCAGGGTCCTGATTTTGGGGACGCCTCTGACTGTCCTCTCCTTTTAGGTGGTAGCTCGACGCTCAGACCTGAAACTCATCGTCACATCAGCCACTATGGATGCAGAGAAATTTGCTGCCTTTTTTGGGAATGTTCCCATCTTCCACATCCCTGGTCGCACCTTTCCTGTTGACATCCTCTTCAGCAAGGTACTGAGGCCTCCGTTTTTTAACTGGTTCTCTGATGAGAAGCTAGTTGCAGGGCATTGAGCAGGGTACTGAGTTGGGGAGGATTTTGTGGGTATGGTGGGGCTGCTGGGGAGGCCTGCAGTCCCAGGGCTCGGGAACAAAGGACTGCGCTCTGGGAGAGGTTTTGTTTCATTGTTTCTTGGGAGCTGCAGTATGGGGCTCAGGGAAGCACCAGGACTTCTTGCAGGGCCTTGTGACCACCCCATCCATGGGTGCGTCACCCTGAAAGTTAGCAGGCTCCAGCCCCAGACAAGTGGCTGGGCCACTGGGTTCCGGAAGGATGTCTGGCCTGCACTCCTGAGACGTGGCCTCCTTGATGGCATCCCTGCTGTGTTTCAGACCCCACAGGAGGATTACGTGGAGGCTGCAGTGAAGCAGTCCTTGCAGGTGCACCTGTCGGGGGCCCCTGGGGACATCCTTATATTCATGCCTGGCCAAGAGGACATTGAGGTGGGTGCCTTGGTCATGACTGATAAACGAGTGTATCCTGTCTCCAAGAGTTTGGGGCTCCAGTCTCTCACAGTTCCACTCTGTGCCGTTAGGTGACCTCAGACCAGATTGTGGAACATCTGGAGGAACTGGAGAATGCACCCGCTTTGGCCGTGCTGCCCATCTATTCCCAGCTGCCTTCTGACCTCCAGGCCAAAATCTTCCAGAAGGTGTGACAATAAGAACGTCTGTCCTGGTTCCCCACCTTTGTCCCTCGTACCCCCCAAAGGAAGGCAAGAGAGACTTGAGCTCTTAATTAACCTCCCAGGGAGAAGCAGAAAGGATGGTACTCTTCTGGCAGGGGGCGGGGTGGGGGTGGCCTCTGCCCCCGTGAAGTCTTTTCTCATCTGACGCACTTTCCCTCCCTGCACGTCTCCTCTGCTCTAGGCTCCAGATGGTGTTCGCAAGTGTATTGTTGCCACCAACATTGCCGAGACATCTCTGACTGTAGATGGCATTATGTTTGTTATCGATTCTGGTTACTGCAAATTAAAGGTACGAGAAGACACAGAGTCGGGGCCCTAAGTCTTCACCCAGAGCGAACTCGGGTGGGAAATTCGGTCCTGGGTTCTCAGCCCTGGAGTGAGGGATGCACACGGAAGTGGTGGTGTTATGTAGGGGACTAACAAGTATGAGTGCTGATTTTGCTATGTGCTTTTTTCATCTAATCCTTATGATAATGTGATGAGGTAGATAATGTAAATAACAGTAGAGATCACAGAGCTGGTATTTATGGGTTTAGGTGTTTCTTGAGGCTCCTGGTTCCAGAAGGATGCTGGCCTGCATTGCTGAGGCACTTCCTCTGCCATGCGTATCAATCACGATTTTTCTCTCCTTGCCTCAGAGCTGCCTCCCTTTCTTTCCCCTACTCTGTCCTCAGACAGTTCTTTGCTGCCTACCCTTCTTAGGTCTTCAACCCGCGGATTGGCATGGATGCTCTTCAGATCTACCCCATCAGCCAGGCCAATGCCAACCAGAGGTCAGGGCGAGCTGGCAGGACGGGCCCAGGTCAGTGTTTCAGGTAGGAGCCCTGTGCTAGCCTGCCTTCTGGGGCAGTGCTGGGATTGCTGGATGTGCAGCCTGGGTGGGGCTGGTGAGGCAGGGGTGGGCAGGGATCCAGCAGGGGGTGCTGGCCCGACAGCTGATCCCCAGGCTTGGGAGGTTGATGCAGGTACCCTACAGGTCGCTCTGAGATCTGAGCGGCCTTGGGTCCTAGGCAGACCTATGTTGAGTTCCTGCAGTGGAAGTTCAGTAATTACAGCAGGCCTCTCCTCTTTTCAGAGTATAAATTTCATCAAATTATATCACTGGTTCTTTTTTACTTCTCCAATTATTTTCTTTTTTGTTCTGATTTTTAAAAATAACATTCATTATAGAAATTGAAAATACTGAATATAAAGAAGGAAATAAAACTCAGTCATAATTCTAGTCCCCAGGTTCATTGGTTCCAGAAATGAAACAAGCATGTAGGATGCTCCAGCTGAAGAGCTGAATTGGCAGGACTGAGTTTTGAATAGGTTCAGCATTGTGATTAAAAGTGCGAGACGAGGGTAGGAATAAAAAATTCTCCTCTCTTTCTGAGATTCCACCTGTGCACACGTGATCTTCCACTGCAGGGGTCCCGGGTGGGCAGCCTGGCCTTATAAGAGGCTCACCAGGGCAGCACGGTGGTGAGTGCAGCAGAACCAGGGTCTTCTTTCACCTCGGCAGGCTCTACACCCAGAGTGCCTATAAGAACGAGCTACTGACCACCACAGTGCCCGAAATCCAGAGGACCAACCTGGCCAACGTAGTGCTGCTGCTTAAGTCCCTTGGGGTACAGGATCTGCTGCAGTTCCACTTCATGGACCCACCCCCGGAGGACAACATGCTCAATTCCATGTACCAGCTGTGGATCCTCGGGGCCCTGGACAACACAGGTGATGTGGCCCTGGAACCTGGAATGGGCTCTGGGGTTTGGGTTTTCACTCTCTTTGCCACCCCATTCCCGCTGAACGTCTGGACATGCTCCTCTCTCCTAGGTGGTCTGACCTCTACTGGGCGACTGATGGTGGAGTTCCCACTGGACCCAGCCCTATCCAAGATGCTTATTGTGTCCTGCGACATGGGCTGCAGCTCGGAGATCCTGCTCATTGTCTCCATGCTCTCAGTCCCGGCCATCTTCTACAGGCCCAAGGTGGGAGAGGGTGTCCAGGATCTCAGGGCATGTTTTGGAAATTTGCAAGAACCTTTTTTTAATCTTCTGATATGGTTGTGCCTGAGCCTTCACATTTTAGAATAAATATTTTATCATAAATTATGTTTATTTCTCTTATAGCATAAGAGCAGTACGTTAATATGTTTGCAGTTATGTTTTGATAGAACCTCTGGGATATGTTCAGTGGGCCTAGATGTTCCCTGGGCTTAGAGTAAAGGTTCTTTTTCTTTCTTAGGGCCGGGAGGAGGAGAGTGATCAAATCCGGGAGAAGTTTGCTGTCCCTGAGAGTGACCATTTGACCTACCTGAATGTCTACCTGCAGTGGAAGAATAATAATTACTCCACTATTTGGTGTAATGATCATTTCATCCATGCCAAAGCCATGCGGAAGGTGGGGGCTGTGGCCCAGAGGAGCAGGTGTGGGACAAGGGGTGAGACTGAGGGGAAAGAGGGCTTCACCCTGCTGGCCCTGTTTCCCGTTATAGGTCCGGGAGGTGCGGGCTCAACTCAAGGACATCATGGTGCAGCAGCGCATGAGCCTGGCTTCGTGTGGCACCGACTGGGACATTGTCAGGAAGTGTATCTGTGCTGCCTATTTCCATCAGGCAGCCAAGCTCAAGGTGAGCACAGGGAGTCGGTGGCTCTGTGGCCCCTCCCCTGGCCTGATGTCTACGCGAGGGTGAGGTCCTTTTGCATGTAGTTCTGTAGATCTGGGCTTCCTCCCAAAGCCTGTGTCAGGGTGGTTTTAAGGGATGGGGAAGCTGCCCAAAGTAGCAGAGTTTCCCTGACATGCCACCTGTTGTGTCTCTTCCTTAGGGAATTGGGGAGTATGTGAATATCCGGACAGGGATGCCCTGCCACTTGCATCCCACTAGCTCCCTCTTTGGAATGGGCTACACCCCGGACTATATTGTGTATCACGAATTGGTCATGACTACCAAGGTGAGTCTCTTGCAAGACTGCTGGCGTGATATAGGCCCCTGCTGGGCCAGGCTGTTAGCTGGGGAGACTTGAGGTTTTGCTTTGAGGGGAGTTTGAGGTTGGTTTTCAGCTGGGGATTGGGGAAGCTTTATACAGAGTTAACTCTAAAAGAGAGTGACCTCAGCTGTGCCAGCAGGATTGTTACTTAGCTGCTGCCTGGGAAGAGCTCCCCCTTTTGCTGTCATTAGGAAGGTATTCTGAGGGGCTGGGCCTTTTTTCTTGGATACTAGGGGCCATTTTCTCAAGTGTGGAGGAATTCGGATGGGAAAAGGGATTAAAAGTCCTGTCTTAGGGGCATTTCTCTGCCTGTTCCAGCCTCACAGGCTGGGCTAGGGCTCCTTCCCACTTAGCTGCTAATAATTGTGGGACCACTCTGGGGAGGGACAACCTGAAGCATCGGTTCTTCCATGACCACTGCTGCTGCTGCCTTTCTGCCTACAGGAGTACATGCAGTGTGTGACTGCTGTGGACGGAGAGTGGCTGGCGGAGCTGGGCCCCATGTTCTACAGCGTGAAGCAGGCAGGAAAGTCGCGGCAGGTAAGGATCCTGCAGTCATCAACATTCTGTCAGTCTCATTTCACTTATTTCCTCTCCCCGCCAGCCTGTCCACACACCCCATTTATTTTTCTGGAATGTAGTAAAGTATATCTCATATATCATGCATTTTACCTGTAAATAAGAATGTATTTCTAACTAAAAGGGCTGTTTTTTGTTGTTTTTTTTTTAAACTTTAAATATAACCTCCATGCCATTATCACCCCTAACAAGTTCATTCTTTAACATCATTTATGTCTGTAGTCCTTATTCACATTTCTCAGATTTCCCTATTTATCTCAAAGACAGCTTTTTAGGACTGGTTTACTTGAATTAGGATTCAAACATTGTAATTGGTTATTATTGTTTTAAGTCTTTTATTTTATAATAGTCTCCTTCTTCACTCTTTTTAAATGACATCAATTATTGGAGAAACGAGGTCACTTGTCCCGTAGACTGTTTCCTATTTTGTATTTGGTCAGTTGCTTCCTCATGGTGGTATTTAATGTGTTCTTCTATCCTGGGTATTTTCTGTAAGCTAGTAATTAACCTAAAGGCTTGATTAGATGAGGTTCACTTAATTTAGGGAAGGGTGCATAGATGTACCGTGTGTACTTCCTTTAGAACCCATCAGGAGGCATGTAAGGTCTGGTGATCCCACTTGTAATGATGCTAAGATTGATCAGTGGTTCAGGTGGCGTCAGCCTGATACCTCCATTATCAGTTCTCTATCTACCCCTCAAGGTTTCAGTGTCCGTTGATGACTATTACATAGATCTATCATTTGGGGTTGTAAAATGTTGCTGGGTTTTTGCTTCCCTCCCTTTCTCAGCATAGTCCTCTCAACACTGGACCTGCACACATCTTCCTTACACTTATCCTTTCCAGCCAGATGGTAGTGTCTTTCCTATTTCCTGTAGTTTCTGGCATAGTTGTGAACGCGATTAAAAAAAAAAAAAAGTAAGTACTTACTGAATTGAGTGGAGTGTTGAGGCATGACTGAGTCAGGTCTGAATTTTTCCAGTTTCCACCTTGAATCAATGAAGAAAGTGGGCTTTGGCCTCAAAAGCAAAGGTGGCCTTGGTGTTGAGGCAAAGGATCATGTGGCTCCTGCTTCTGAGACCTGGCCTGGTCCACACAGTGCCTGGGTTTGCAGCAGGGAGATGGGTGCAGACAAGGCCCCCTCACCGATGGTCCCCAGTGGGCTCAGCTAGTGCCCTCTTCCTCTCTAGGAGAACCGCCGTCGGGCCAAAGAGGAAGCTTCTGCCATGGAGGAGGAGATGGCGCTGGCTGAGGAGCAGCTGCGAGCCCGGCGACAGGAACAGGAAAAGCGCAGCCCCCTGGGCAGTGTCAGGTGAGCCCGCCCCTGGGAGGTTACCAGACCATCCTAATGGGCTCACCCTGGCGGAGTATGCATTTCAAGGCCTGAATGCAGGGTCATGACTTAAGAGAAGTTGAATGTGTGAGGAGTAAATGGGTGATAGAAGCTGATTGTGTGTGGGTGGTCCTGTGTGGAGGTGTGACAGACACAGGGCAGGTACACATCTGCAAGTCCTGTCATTGTCATGTGTGATCAGGGCCTGAGTGGCTTGGGTACAGGGTGGGTCTTACAGCTTTACTGACAGCTAGGAGCTTGGAAACTACAGTGGAGGGGAGAGAAGAGAGCCTTGGGTTTGTATGTCTGTGTGGTACTGGAGTGGCGGCCTGCAGAGGCAGGTGGCAGGCTACGTCCATAGCTGACCTAGGGGATAAGAAAGGAGTAAAAAAAAATCTATCTTGCCACATTCCTTAATGGAGATCAGAATGAGGTAGGCTTCCTTTATTTTATTCTCCTGCTTCCAATCAAAAATGGGGAAGGAAAGTGGAGTAGAAATGTGTTGGGGGATAAGATCCTTCAGCCCCACAGCCTCTTCACACACCAGTTAGAATCAGCAAGGCTTAACCTGTTCATCCTACCCTGTGTCCTGGGTTGAAGTGAGGAGCAAGTGTTTCCTAACCTCTTTTCCTCTGTCTAATAGGTCTACAAAGATCTATACTCCAGGCCGGAAAGAGCAAGGGGAACCCATGACCCCTCGCCGCACCCCAGCCCGTTTTGGGCTCTGAGCTGTCCCTGGTAGAGGATGGGAGCCAGGTATTGTCCTGAGCCCTCTGGCTGGATGGCCTGAGCCTCTGGACAAAGCCCCCCTCATCTGTATACTTTCATCTGTATACATCCGCTCGTGGCCCTTGGGCTCTGCTGCTGAGGAAAGAGTTGTTCCTCAGTGCAGGCACTTGGAAGGGGCCAAGGCTGCTGTCTGGCGCAGCAGAGCAGCTGAGAAGCTGCCAGAGTGAGAGGCACCCAGACCCATCACCTCCAAGTAAGCAGCCTCTGGGATGCTTGGTGTCTAAGTGACTGGTGTGACCATGTCTTTTTTAATCCTCGTGTAAAGCAGTAAAATAGACCTAAAGGGAATTGTAATTTGGTCATAATTCAGGATTTGGAGATAAATTTATTGTTTGTAAAATGTTATTGCACTTCAGACTGTTTCTTTTTCCCTCGCTGCCCTAAATCATATGATAAGGAGAGGAAGGGCAGAACCCCCAACCTGACTTTCCTTTGATGGATCTTCCTAGAGCCTTAGTTCTGCCCTTAGTTCTCTAGGCAGTGCCTCCCAGAGGAGGGCTTGGGAGGGGGGGACACAGGTGACAGGGAAGGAGACCTGAGACTGGCCAGGTACACCAAGCAGTGGGCGATGATATTAAGCACTCTTTTTATGTCTTTTGAGGTAGTTTTTTGGATATTTGGCCCTTTTGTGCCAGCCATGGTTCTTATTTAATGACTCCCTACAGTTGGGCTTTTGACAGGTATGCTGGTTGGGGCCGAGTCATCAACAGGATTGGAGGTCAGAGGTACCTTGATATCACACCGGTGCTCAAAGTGAGCTCTGTGGTGCCTGGCTCACTGTGCTGACTGTTGGTTCCAGTCCCTCTGGGATTTGAGTTTTCATGTATTATAATTCTCAACCTAAGGGAAAACATAAGTCAATTTTGTGGAGGAGTTTGGAAGCCAAACTTTGTCAGCACCAGCTATCACCTCTGCTATGCTTCCATTCCTTTTCCCTCTGACCTCCTTTATTGGAAATGCAGGTGAAAACAGACTTTTCAGGGCTCTGGAGTGAAAAGAGAGGAGCCCTGGTGGTGCAGTGGTTAAGTGCTCAGCTGCTAACGGAAAGGTCAGTAGTTTGAACCCACTAGCTGCTCTGCAGGAGATGTGGCAGTCTGCTTCTGTAAAGATTTATAGCCTTGGAAACCCTATGGAGCAGTTCTACCGTCCTATAGAGTTGCTATGAATTGGAATTGACTTGACAGCAGTTGGTGGTGTGAAGAGAGGGCTTCCAGCTGCATGGCTGGGAAGCCTTATCTTGGCACCAGGTTGAAGGGTGAGGAGAAGCTATTTGCCTGCTTGGCAGGGAGGAAATGGGTGGGTATGTAAGCTGCTTACAGACTCAGGCTTGGGATGCAACAGAATAGGAAAAAGACTGAAGTTCCAGTTAACGGCTTTCTTCCTAACAAGCTGTGACCTTGGTCACAAACTCATCTTCAAGTTTGTTAGATTAAAAAAAAAAAAAAAATGAGGCCAGAGAGGTTATGGTCCAGTCTAACCTTCTAATTTAAAAGCAAGGAACACCTGGTGAGGGACATGCTTGACACACAGGAGCCACAAGATGAGTAAAGAGGCTCACCCAGCCCTGCAGCTCTACCGGAATCTTAGCTGATATTGAGGTTTCTGCCTAAGATTTTGCCTGGACCTGTTTTCCGGTGTTTTCCTTTTAAATACAAACCCTTTCTATTCAGATCATTCTAGATTTCCTTCCAGTTTTAACACTCTTTGAATCTCACTGACTTTTTCTCAGATGATAACCAGTTCTTTTTCTAGAAGGGCAAAAGCATTTCTGTGACCATAGTCCTGTGGCCTGTCACTAGACCCGGGGCCCCCAAAGTGGACTTACAAGTCAGGTTTGATGATTTCAGACTTCCTGGTGTGAGGAAATGGAGTGTTGAACTGGACAGTTCTGTGGAAGATAACCCTGTGTGGGGTTTGGGGGGTTTTGCTTTCAATTCACTTGCATTTATTATTATGTGCCTGGTAGATGGGAACAAGATATTCTAGACACTAGAAGTGTCGGCAGTTGAGAGTCTGAGGTTGAGAGAGGGAGCTCATTCTGGGGACCCCAGAGCTTGCTTGACAGGCCTTTGTCACAGCAGGAAGCTTTCTCCTCAGTTTGGGCTGCGTAGAGAAAGCTCAGAAGGCTTGTTCACATGTGGCAAAATGATGGTTCAGGGAGCTGCCCTCTTCTCAGGGAGAGAGGAATAAGGAACTTCAGTAAGGTGAGCTGGGGATGTCTGATGTTTGCTCTGGATTCCTTGAGCTCAGGGGGAGAAGAATTATACTCTGGATTTGAGGAAGATCTTCCATGAAAAGGATTCTGCTGGCACCAATTCCCAGAATCTGAGCAATGTCTTCCCACTGGGTGGTTGAAGCATTTGACTAAGTCCCATTTCATAGCCATTTGTTTTTAATATAAACTGTTCAAACCACTTTTTGAGAACTCTCTGCTTTGGTTATTTCTTAAACACTCAGTTTCCCTGCTCTTCTTCCTGTCTCTTGCAAGCTAGAGGCTGGGTGACATGGATGTTTTTCTGGCTTCCTTGCCCCATTGCTCTGCCATAACTGACTACCTGCTTTGCTCTGGTATCATTACCCCACAAGACAACTTTGTAAAAATTTGCAAGACAACTTTGTAAAAATGCACAGCATTTGAAGTATCCAGATATTGCCATTTGAACCAACATACATGAAACCTTTTTGTAAATTACAGAGATAAAATCCCTTCTTAGTAGGCTGTACAATTAGAACTTTTGTTTGACTAAATGGACCACTAACTAGAACTAGGAAGCAGTTTCATTAGAATCAGATTCTTCAGTATTTGTTTTTTCTAGAAAATATACCCTTATTCTAAACCGAAAGGGAGAACATCGTCAAAAGAGGATAAACAGACAATAACCATCACAACGAAACTACCAGAGACACCAGTCACTTCCTCCTTACACCGCACTTCTGGAGAACTTGCCCTTCCCACGTCCTGGTGGGGGCATCCTATGTAGTATGTTGCTATCAGCAGTGAATTTTTTTTTGTTTTTTATTTGGCCAAGTTGGGAGGCAAGACTATTTAAGAATCATTGACAACCAGTGCTGTTTCTTCCTCCACTCTCCCTACGCCCCCCCGAAATGAAAACTCTTCCCTTTCTTTCTCTTACTTTACCCTAGTATGTATTTCTCTGAATTTCCTACACTAGACATATAATTTGTAGACATGTACTCAGTTTAAGAAAATCCTACTATAAAATAGTTTAGCTGTCCTTGGAGTTTGTTATAATGGAATTTTACTTGTATTGAGCTGGCTGGGGAAAAACAGTTGTAAAAGGAGGAGTGGAATATGATGGCCAGGGAGAAAGCAGATGGCTATCTCTCCATCTCATATTTGGAAAATGCATCACTTACTTCTCTTCCTTTCATTTGGGTCTCAGGATTACTTTTATTCTTGAGGTTTTTATAATTAAAAAAATTCCAGATAGAGGTGGAAAGAAAAAAGGAGCTAATCATCTCTTGTTGGTTTAAAGACAAATGCAGATAATCCAGAAGCTTGCAATATAGGGAGTTATAGCTGCCCTATATGAGTAAAAGGGACCTGTATCTTAGAATCTGGAGAAAACAGAGATGAACACATTGCTGAGTGCTTGAGGGGGCAGAGATGTCTGCAAGGCACCAGGAGCTCACCGAGACTGCTGTGCTCATGTCTTTATTTTAGAGTTTGGGCCTGGAGATGATAGTGTGGTTCCAAGGCTCACTTCACTGCAGGAAGTGGACAAATCTCAATAAAGTGTTAGCATCTTGCAAAGTAGGCTGGGACCCTGATACATTTCTGTAAGAGCCGATCCAGGTAAAGAAAGAGATGGGAACTCGCTTGTCCTTTGGAAAAACATGCGTGGAAATGATGCTTAGGGCAAGGCGCTGGTTCTAGCAAAACGAGGAACCTGAGGGAACAGGGAGGAAATGACAGTTTTGATTTGAGGGGAAATTAATGGTGATTCCTCAAGGACTGGCCTCTTGACCAGGCAACTCTGTTGTGGGGTGACTTCTTCCCTCTGGGGTAATAAGGAGTTTACAGATGGCAGGAAACATAGCTGTGCAACCGGGCTGTAGGGGACCAAGGTCCTCTTGTGGGGTTCCCAGAACACATAACAGGAAGAAGATGTCTATTCTGCCTGTTCTCTTGTACTGACACTCCCCAAAAGGGACTGGGGCTGGGGGTAAGTCTCAGGTGTGAGGTGCTTGAGTATCATCCAAGGTTCTTAGATCAGAGATCAGAATGTATCTTAATTCAGCTTCTCACTCTGCATATGAGGAAGCCATTATCTTTGAAGTCCACAGTAGCTAAGCACATGACTCGAGGTCATGCAAGACCTGCTTTCTTCTCCCTATTTGAATTCTCGATCCAGTGATGTTTTTAAAAATAATATCATGCTTTTGTTATTTTTTGACACATGAGACTAAGAAAAGACATTGACAGTAGAAAAAGATAAGTAGGGGACCTACCTGAGCAGTGGGGCATCCCCACTAACTTGCTGTCCATTCTTTGGCCCAAGTCCTGGGGCATCCCCCTCCAGCCCATTGCCCCGCACACTTTCCTCTCCCTTTGTAAGGGCTCCATTTTGTTCAGGAAGCCAAGGGGTTTGCTGTATAATTTTGGTTGCCCTACGTTCAGCTTCTTCTCCTGTATCTCACTCTTCAGCTTCTTGTTTTCCTGCTGCAGATGCACCATCACATTGTGGAGGTGGCTGTGGGAAGAGAGGGAAGGGCAGGTGGGTGTTTGGTCTGCTTTATCTGCTTGCTTCCCTGCTGGAAAGACACATAAAGGTGTCACAGGAAAAAGGATCATGAGTGCCCAATTCCTTTCAGAGCTGGGGCCCTGTTATGGATTGAATGGTGTCACCCAGAGATATGTTGAAGTCCTAAATCCTAGTACCTGTGAACGTGACCTTGTTTGGAAATAGGGTCTTTGAAGTTGTTATCAGTTAGGTTAACATGAGCTTCTACTGGAGTAGGGTGGGTCCAATCTAAGTGGTGCCCTGATAAAAGAGAAAAGACACAGAGACAGACAGAGGAAAGACAGCCATATGAAGATGTATCTTCATGCCAAAGAATGCATAGGACTGCCAGAAGCTGGGAGAGACAAGGAAGGATCTTCCCCTAGAGCCTCTGGAGAGAACGTGGCCCTGCTGATGCCTTGAATTTGGACTACTAGCCTCTAGAACTGTGAGACAATAAATTTCTGTTCTCATAAGCCACCCAATTTGTATTATTTTGTTACGGCAGCCCTAGGAAACAAACACAAGCCCTCACACAAGTTCTGTGGAAACAGATGCCTTTGTGCGTCCAGTGGAAGGGGCCCAGGCCTGGGGTTGGGTAGACCCAGAAGTAGTACTTCTGATTCCGTCACCTTTGTGCCTGTTTTCTTATCTATTAGATGGGGACAGTCAAGCCTGACATGCCTGCTTGGGTTAATATAAGGATCCAGTTATACAAATGATGTAAATTTGACCAGAAGAGCCAGAAAGCCATTAGGAACCACGACTCTGATGTGTCGTTGCTGCTTACGGCCATGCCTCGGAAGCACTTTCACCTAGTTCTGATGCCAAAGTCCACGTTTTGTCCGATTCCCTGTGCTGAAGGGTTGGGAGCACAGGAGATCCTGGCTCTGTTGGGAGCTTGGGTGAATTACTTACCCTCATTTTATGGATGAGGGCACAGATGTTGCGATGTAGTACAGAGGGAAGATAATTTAGCACATTTCCTGTGGCTCAGTAAATTAGTATCTATAGTCATATTCCACCCAAACCAGAGTTTAGAGCACAGTGGATGATAATGGGCTCTGGAGTCAGACTTCTCAGGTTGGAATTCTGGCTCTGCCACATACTTGTTGTGAGACCATGAGTAGTTATTTAGCTTTCAGTTTCTCTCTGTCCTCCTCTGTAAATGGAGATTATGGAGTATAACTTCACCAAACTCATGACCTCTGATGAGGATTCAATGAATTAATACATGTAAAGCACTTAGAATAATGTCTAGCACATGGTAAAGAATAAATGAGCTATCATTATTATTAAAAGATAGTTTTCTTTGAAAGAGGTTCAAGCAAACTAAAGAGTGTGAAACAGACTTTCTGGTACTTGGCACACTATAAGAAAAAGTCTAGCATTCTCTGCTATCTTAAGATTCTGACATATCACATGGGACTAAGAAAGAAGACATGACAGTAGAAAAAGACTTTTTCTTCTAGTTAAATTCTTCCAGAAAATGCTTCTGTTCTAATGAAAAAGTTCATGGTCTTTTCTAGAGTAAATCAGATAAAGATTTCATCCTCAACCTCTTCTCTGGGCATGCTTTACCTCTTGCACTCAGCAAACCTGGTGGCTTTGAAGACACCTGTAACCCTGTAGCCCCTCATGTGATGGCCACTCCAATTGCCAATAGGCCTGGAGGTAGGGTCCCAGCATTGTTCTCATTCCCTGG